AAGATATCGGAATCCGAGATAAGCGGATAAGGGACAAGAGTCCTAGAATGAAGAGGGAACTCAACTTAGTTATGGACAAGAGTCCTAGAGAAAAGAGAAGACTTCTGCTAAGATAACGATAAAGCTCTTAGGGAGTTTATCTTTATCTCTTGAGGAATCCAAAGTAAGTACTAAATTGGAGTCCATAGAAGTCAGGCTTCTAGTAGGACTTGGATTGAGTAAACTATAAAAGAGAGGCACCCCCGTGGGTCTAAGGTATGCAGTTTTATACACAAGCTTGTGAGTTTAGCACTTGATTATCTTTAAGAAATATACTGACTTGATCGTCGGAGTGCCCCCGGGTGGAAGAGCCACCGCCGGAGCCTTTTCTTTTTGTTACAGGTCTGTTGAAGCCATCTATTCTGCCGGTGCTCTCCAGCTGATTACTAGGCGGACAATGTGGTCAGAAAATTACCCACACACCCGTCATCATGGTAAATTTTATGTTAGATATATAAGCTTAAACTTAAAAACTCTGGTGGTGGGTTCTACAGTTTTACCCTTGAAGTTGAAGCTATTCACATGCTTAGTTGTATTTTCTTGCAACTCATCAGTCTAGTTATTTTTATCTGTCACAATCCCTACTTCACCTTAGCAACTAGCCTGTGAGAGCATGGTTACCAAAGTAAGTGCCAGAGCAACTTGCAAAGTGGAACTGATATGTAAGGTTTAAAAAATTAGAGGGGCAAAATTAGGAAGCGAGAAGCAATTAGGAAAAGAAACCCTCTGCTAAGGTGATAAAAGATGGGTATATATGGCCAACGATGGGTAAAAGAGCAAACCATTAAAACAAGCTCTGTACAACCTACTTGACAAAGAACACTCGTGTTGGCAATTTAACAAGCACATTATCTACAAAAGTTTGTCGATAATGGTTAACAACAGTTCAATCCTAGTCGCTACATTCATAGAGAGACTTCCATTCTCAAAAAAATTTACCTCAAAGCTAATCAAAATTGTTGTTAAAAGCATTCAATCCAAACAAACCCACCAATAAAAAATGCCTTCAAATATTAATGTAAAATCATAAAAAAACACAATTGATTAAATAAAACAAATAAATCAGGCACACATGCAAATTCGGTCTAATAAGAGAAGAAAAAAATTTGATAACAAGTAAAAGTTTTCAAATTGAAGCAGTGTGGGTATAAATCAAATCAGAGAATGAGAAAAGTAATGCATTTACCATCGATGACAAGCCAACAGTCCTTGGGGTTGTTGTGCTCGGAGACCTCAGCCAAAGTAAAGACCTTGCCGTCACCACCCATTAATATAAGATAACTAGAGATTAGAGAGATAGAGAGAGATCTGTGTAATACAATTCTTCGTGGCTACCATTCAGTCAGATTCTTCACAATTCTCTATCTCCAATGGCGATTTCGAGTCATCATCTCCTCCTCATCCGATTATCAATCCTGCTAGCTCTCCTCGCCATCTCAGCCAACGCAAGGCCAGGTTGTAAATTTCACCTCTGCAAAACCCTAATCTTCTTCACCACCACCTCTACCTCCAACCCCCTCCTCCATCAAAACCCTAATTTCTCTCCCCAAAGCCCACCTCCACCGGCCCATCCCTCACCTTTTTCTTCACCCAATCCAGAGATTTCAATCCCAAACTCACACTCCTCCCCTTTCACCCATTTCACTTTGTCCATCGATCCAAAATCGATAAAGAAATTCGACCCCTGCCTCTCGGTTTCCACGCCTCGTTACACAATCGCACCAAGGGCATTCTCAAGGACGTTGGATCTCTGTTGTTAGGCGTCGCTTGTGGTGCCATCACTGCCGGAACTCTGTACCTGATTAGTCTCTTTTCGCCGATCCCAACAGCTTCGAATTCCATGATTCAGATGATGATTTTGATGGTGCTGATGATGTGAACCCGAAGAAGATGGGCTATATCACTGTTCCTGCTATCGATACTCCGGCGACGGTGAAGGAAGAGGTTTGAGCGTGGTTTGGATTTGTGTGACTTTAACTCTAGTAAGTAAGTGTGGTTTATTAATTTTATAATCCTTCCAAAAATTTGAAATGTTTCCCTTTAAAATATATTTTTGGTGATCAAACTTTTGGTCGACAAAGATAAAATATAAATAAATAAATAAATTATTATTTTATCATTAGGCAATTCAATAATTTTAGTAGCCAAACTTAATCATATAGCAACTAAAATATTTTTTAGTCGTTGAAAATAAATTTTTAGCAACTAAATTTTTGGTTGTCAAAGATAAAAAATAAATTTTTATTTTTCATTTGGCGAGTAAATAATTGTAGTAGCCAAAACTAACTATACAACAATTAAAATATTTCTTAATCGCTGAAAATAAATTTTTCGCGACCAAAAGTTTGGTCACCAAAGACAAAAAATAAATTTTTATTTTTCATTAGGCGACTAAATAATTTTAATAGCCAAACCTAACTATATAGCGACGAAAATATTTTTTAGTCCCTAAAAATAAATTTTTAGCGACCAAACTTTTGGTCGTCAAAGACAAAAAATAAATTTTTGTTTTTCATTCTGCGACTAAATAATTTTAGTAGGCAAAGCCAACTATACAACGACTAAAATATTTTTCAGTCGCTGAAAATAAATATTTCGTGACCAAACGTTTGGTCGCCAAAAATAAAAAGTAAATTTTTATTTTTCATGCGGCGACTAAATAATTTTAGTAGCCAAAACTAACTATACAACGACTAAAATATTTTTTTAGCCACTAATTATAGAAAATTTAGTGACTAAATTTTTTGTAGTCGCCAATTGTGACATTTTTAGCAACTAAATTTTTTTTTTAGTCACCAATAAGCAATATACCCCGACTAAAAAAATTTAGTAGCTAAATATTGTACTTTTGCCGATTAACATAATTTTTGGTCCCCAATTCCATAACTTTTGGCGACCAAAATATTTGTCGATAAAACTGGTCGCCAAAAGTGTATTTTCTTGTGGTGAATGTTTCACAACAAAGAATATGAATTACTACAACATTTGTTAGATTTGAAATTTCAAGTCAAGAATGTCGTAAGTGTGAACTCATTTGATCTCAGGTGAGATCATAAATAAATGATCCATTTTTCTTTGTACGGAAATGTGAAATTAAGAACCAATCAAGAAGATTTAGTCCATTTTGCTCCCAAAAAAAAAATGTTCATTCAACTTCGAACTCAATTCATTAACGCTGTCTTTGATTAAGGATTTGGAAAGGGGTTTGGAAAAAGAAAGGGAAAAGGTAGGTGAAATGTTTTCACCTAATTTATGTTAGCTCCAACCACATGCATACAGAGTAGAGAGTCAAGAAAGGATGGCGTATGAAGATTTCCATAACAAGTGAAGAAAGTCTGAGCTGGGCATCTCCCCTTTCTCTTTATGTTGTTGCCATTGTTGACTCTCACCAACAAAAAGTAGAAATTTTGGTAGGTTTGTCTCCCCCTCTCTCTCTCTCTCTGTGTATAAATAGAGATGGGAGGGAGATAATGAATTGTATCAGAAATTTGAGAAAGAGAGTTGTGAGTTGAGTGAGAGTTTTATCTCCTCCTCTGTTTTTGTATTTGTTCTGTTTTAGTGAAATTCTCATTTCTGCTCCATGGACGTAGGCATTGGGCTGAACCATGTAAATATTTGTGTCTCATTTGTGTTTGTGATTGCTTGGTGTTTATTTTTCTGGGTGTCCATGATCCTAACAAGTGGTATCAGAGCCAAATTGATCGTTTTTCCAAAACATAGAGTGTGTTCTCAAAAATTGCCCAGAAATCAAAGTGGTCGAAATCCACTTTTGATCACACCAGATTAAAGCTCTCGACAAGACGAGCACGGAGGTGAAAATCGCGTCGTAAAAGGACGCTGGAGGAGTCCCCATGCACCGTCACGCGCTTTGTGATGTCGTGACCACACGCTGTGACGCACTACCACGTCCCCATACGTCGTCCCCAGTTCGCCAGGCGCTATCGTCATCCTATCGCCGTTACCTAACGTCATAACGATGGCCACTGACATCGTCTAAGCCTCTAAGTGGACCCGCCAAGCCGAGTTGGAGCCGAGCCGAGTCGGAGCCGCTGACTACGCCGCGTTGACCAAGCTAAATCGAAGCCGAGCCATCCAAGCCGTTGACTGGAGCTGCTGGCCAAGTCGAGCCGCCGGCCAAGCCACGCCGTCGTGGATGACGTCAGTCTGATGCCAACCGAACCGGAGGAATTATTCGATGCTTCTCAGGCATACCAGATTGCGCTGATCTAAACCATTCAACCTATTTTGGCTTGATCTGAGTCATTATGAGTCCGATTTTTATGATCCAATAGTGCTTTCCAACTATTTGGAATATTCTAGACACATCCGTACGATCAGATTTTGCAAATCAGATTTCAAAATTTTGTATTTTTTTTTTGGCAATTCGAAGTGCTTTTCTGGCTAATTTGACCAGTCCAGACTCAACAGCGAACCCTGATTTTCAGACAAAGATCATTTTCTATAAAGACAAGTGTTGATAAAGGAATTAATGTCGACTTTGGGATCTATAATCAAGCTGCCTGCTTCCAAGTATGCAATTTGGAAGCTCAAAATAGAGGATGTCCTGTACTATCGAGATTTGTTTGACCCCATTAAGCTTAATGAAGTTAAACCAGCAATGGAAAATGACGAAGACCAAAAGATAAAGAATTGGAAAACCATTGGCCAGATCAAACAATGGATCCATCACAGTGTCTTCCACCATGTCACCCAAGAGACTGATGTCTATGCTCTCTGGACGAAGTTAGAAGGCATGTACCAGTCGAAGACTGCTCGAAACAAAGCCCTCATAATGAGAAGACTTGTAAATTTAAAGCTAAAAGGTGGTATCTCTATTGCTGAACACACCAGTGAGTTTCAAGATCTGGTGAATCAACTGGCAACTGTCAAAATAAAGCTGGATAATGAGATGCAGGCCCTATTACTGCTCAGCTCTTTGTCAGACAGTTAGAAGATGTTGGTGGTGTCCCTTAGCATCTCTGCACCAGAAGGAAAACTAATCATGAGCATGGTTACAGATGCTTTATTTAGTGAAAAGGCAAGAAAGAAAGACATGGGTGGACATCAGTCTCATACCCTCGTCACAAAAAAAAAAAGAGATAGAAGTGGAGGCAGAGACAGAAATAGAGAAAGAAGCAAAAATAAAGGACGCAGTAGAAGAAGATCTCAAGACAGAGGGAAATCCAAAGAAGGTACGAGCCATCCAAAGCTCAAGTGTTACCACTGTGGCAAGGAGGGTCACATAAAGAAATATTGTTATGCCTTGAAGAGAGAACAAAAACAAGGCACTAGACAGCCAAAGACCGAAGATGGGAACACTGCAGTTACTGTCTCAAAGGATATTGCATTATTCTTTGTTGGAGAAGAAGAATACCTCTATATGTCAGACAACGACACCGAGTGGGTGATAGATACAATAGCTTCCTACTACGCTACATCCGGAAGGAGTTTTTAAGTATGTACCAAGCTAGAGATTTTGGTACAGCGAAGATAGGTAACTCCAATTTTTCAAAGATTGTGGGAATCGATGATGTTCGCATCCAAACCAAAGTTGGGTGCATGATGGTGTTGAAAGATGTCAAGCATGTTCCCGATTTACGCCTGAATCTTGTTTCAAAGATAGCCTTAGATCCACAAGGCTATGAGAACTACTTCGGCAAAGGCATATGAAAGTTGAAAAAGAGATCTTTGGTGGTAGCCAGAGGATAAGAAAGTGGCACGCTGTACAAGACTCATATGGAGGTGAATTCAAATAGCCTTAATGCAGCAGAAAATGAGGCATCACCTAATTTGTGGCACAAAAGGCTGGGCCACATGAGTGAGAAAGGGTTGCAGATTTTGGTAAAGAAGTCTCTTATTCCTTTTGCCAGAGATGCGAAATTGAATCCTTGTGACAACTGCTTATTTGGAAAGCATCATAGAGTCATTTTCCACTCATTATCCAAAAAACAATCAGAGTTGTTAAGCAAAGCATACTCTGATGTATGCGGTCCCATAGAAGTGAAATCTTTGGGTGGCAGAAAATACTTCCTGACGTTTATTGATGACGCATCACGAAAGGTACGGGTTTATGTCCTTAAGACCAAAGCTGAGGTATTCCAGCATTTTCAAACATTTCATGCTATGGTAGAAAGGGAGACCGGAAAAAAACTAAAGTTTCTCTAAACAGACAATGGAGGCGAGTACACGTCAAAGGAGTTTGAAGCCTATTATGCTACTCGCGGCATCCGACATGAAAAGACTATTCCTGGAACCCCACAACACAATGGTGTAGCTGAGAGAATGAATCGGACCATTGTGGAGAAAGTCAGATTTATGCTCAAAATGGCAAAGTTGCCAAAGCCATTTTTGGGAGAAGCTATTCGTATTGCTTACTATTTCATCAACAGATAGCCATCGGTTCCACTGAATTTTCAGATTCCAGAAAAAGTATGGTTTGGAAAGGAGATTTTTTACTCTCACTTGAGAGTATTCGGGTGCAAAGCATTTGCACATGTATCCAAGGAGCATAGGCAAAAGCTAGATGATAAAGCTACTCCATGCATCATTATTGGCTATGGAGATGAAGAATTTGGATACAGATTATGGGATCCGAAAAACAAGAAGGTCATTCGAAGCCGAGATGTGGTATTTCAAGAAAGCTAGAGCTTAGAAGACTTTGGACAACCAGCCAAATCCAAAGTTGATGATGTTTCAGAAATTATTCCCAATCCTGTACCATCACATCATGTCACTGATAAGAAGAGCTACCGGAGCATGCAGCCAATGATATAGAGTTGCATGATGGATTTCCAGAAGAAGAAGATCCAGAAGAAGAGGGTGCTGAGTAGGGAGAGTCACAACCCCCTTCGCCAGAGACTGTTGGTCCACAGTCACAAAGATCAACAAAAGAGCCTAAGTCGTCATCAAAATACCCAACTTTGAGTATATTTTTGCTTACTAATGAGGGGGAACCAGAAAGTTTTTCAAGAAGC